GTCCGTCTCCATTAGCCCAATTAGAAAAGTAAGACGTAACATTCCTTTCATTTCATTTTTCAGATTGTCGATACAAGTTTACAAATAAAACAACTTTGTTTCCCAAACCCTACTTAGAAAGATCAATATCTGATTCAGCGATATGTGATGAAAGCTGTGCTAACGATATCAGATGTTCCGCTGCTGCCGTGTTTTTTGGTACTATAGAATGTTATCATTACGATACACCAATCATCTTCTTGTCGTATGAGTTAAATGAAGACCAATGTATTGAAAAGTGCAACGAGATGAGTGAATGTAAAACAATTGGCATTGGAAACGAAATGAGTTTGTTCTGTTTTGTATTTAACGCCACCTTTGACAAGATTCCAGATATTATGAAACAAACTGACACTAGCACTTTTAGCGTAGCAGAAAAAATCTGCGAATAATAAAAAAAACATGTTTATCATGATATAGACCTATCTCTTTTTTATTTTTGGCAATAACCTTGGGTATAAGGGGGTGAGAGCCGACTCTAAGAAACAAAGGCACAGTCATCAAAATTATTCTTACTTTCGAATCCTCGGCACCTAATCACCTAGCAGACTATAATCCAACTGGCTACCGACTGAGCTATTCTAGAAACTAGGTATTAGGTGGGTTAGAGCTGACTCTCGGAAGCACAGGCATCAGAATTGTCTTTACCTTGTGGAGGATTCAAACCCACGGCACCTAATCACTTAGCAGACGACAATGAAAGAGATATTCTAGCATGGGCAAGGATAGGTAATGATCGTTTTATATTGAGAGTAAAAGAGGTTCACTATATACCCTTGAGTTTGACGTAGATAACAGAGGGAAAATACATTAAAACGCAGCCGTATTGCATTGGATACGTCTACATGAAGTCCTAAAAATAGAATTGTATCACTGCACGAGCATAGATCATAGAGAGTCTCACAGACCTTGTGTGTATTTCAAATAAGTGAAAGAAATGAGTTGCCGATGATACTAAACAAAAGTACACCAAAATGGACACAGGAAACGCGTCTGACCACTCTATATCGAACTAGATACACGGTTGACCTTTGCACATAGTCAAGGGCAGTGGATTGCACGCATGGTAGTAGTTTTTAGGCATCTGTGACACACTTCTCCATAGGCACTCCATGTTACCAAATGAACTAGAGTTGGTCCTGGAACGGCAGACGAAAAGGTGTCAGAGAATCTGAAATTAAATAGTTTGCTTAAGTTGATACTAGAAAATAAGGAAATTCATCTTTAACTATATAATTATATGTTTATTACATATATTATTCAGAACATACAACAATGTATTCAGCTAACTGTTCAATAAAGGAACTTTCAAAGATATGTATTTATTTTATAATGAAAAATGGCACTAATAGAATGTCTTCATTTCAAGTAGAATATGTTATATAATAATGTAGAAAATGGGGGGAACGATATCAAAACTATCAGAATATCAGTTGGTAACTTTAATAAAAAAGTAATTATGTGCTTATTAAAACAGTAGTGGTGCATTAAGATAAGACAACAATTAAATAAAACAACCAAGTTTCTATAAAAATGCACCCTTCCTACACTTGCATAATACTAAAACACGTACCTACAAGTGATAGATGATAGGGGAAGGTATTGTGGGCTATAAGCAGGATAATGCCCTGATGGATAGATATAAAGAATTTGGTTTGAAGCAATGTTTGGAAATTGTTGACGAAATTGTTAAAATAAACTTATGATTCCTAGTGTTGTTATCATGACAAGATATGCAATAAATTAATCTCCCCTCCCCCCTCAAATGTCATTGGTTGCAAACTAAAGATTGACATGTCCACAGCAAATCTCATTGGTACACATTTTCGCAAAATTATTGATTCTAATCGCCCAAACGCATTAGGTCGCCCAAATTTATATTTATGGCTCGCCCAAACTTATGTATTGTAGATATATTTATCATGTAATAAAAGTATTGTTATTTTAGTGTCTTGATGTTCGCGTTGGTTTGTCATGTGAGTAT